GCTCCCTTCCCCTTCCCCCTTCCCATCCCTGATGGAGGGTCCTGACCTGAAATGTCAACTTTCCTGCTGACTGACCTACTGTGCTCTTCCAGCTCCACATTTTAACGATTCTGACTTCCAGCATCTGCAGTCCTTGTTATCTCCTTCACTGCTCACAATGCTTCCACATTTTGTCACCTGCAAACTTTAATTTTTTGGGGCACAGGTTACAATTTCAAAATGTTTGTGGAATATCTCTGTTCCTTTGAAATCTTCCCTCCAACTGTCTTTCGTGCCCCTCTCATTACTTTAGTGATATCTTCCATTAGCTTTTTAAACAATTCCTAACAAACAAATTGTCTATATCACTGTAGCTGAGATGATTAACTTTCCTGTATCCACTGCTGAAGCTGAAATAGTTTATGAATGTTCAGAAGACTGTTCTGATTGCTTAAACTCTTCAAGATTCACATTACATGAAAATGTGTTTTAAATTCTAATTCAGTCACGTGATGGGACCCACAAGTGACTGTAATTATAGTTTACCAAATAGTCAGGCTCCTATGAAAATGGCAGTATGCCATTTTTGTCTGGCAAGTAAAATGTGCCGTCAATGTATAAATTCTTTAACCCCTTGTAAATTTACAGGCTGTCTGAAAATAATATTGTCAGCTTTAGTTTCAACTTGTTATTGTACAGTGCAATACTCTTAGAAATGACTGTTAAGGAACGTACTTAATAAGTCTCCATGTTGTGTCAGTGGTTAGGATTTAGTTGTGAATTGGTCAATTGTAGCTCAGGAACAGAAATCAAATCCCACTGCAGTGACTTGAATTGACACACAAGGCTAGCCCTGTATTGTTGTGCTCAAGGAGTGCTGTACTGTCAGAGGTGCGGTCTTTCTGATGTGACATTAAACTGAAGCCCAATCTGTCCTCTCGGGCACAGTTTCAAAGAATAGTGGTTCTCCCAGTGTTCTGATCAATATTTCTCCCTTTAACATCACAATAAAAGAAATCACCTAGTCATTTATTACATTGTGGGAGTTTGCTGCTGACATAACAGCAACGATGATATTTTTGGAGAAACAATGTTTACAGCATACAAGGAAGCCATTTGGCCTGCCATGTCTGTGCTGGAAAGGACTTAATTGCATATGAAGCAGTTTGGAACATCCTGAGTTTGTGAATGGTGCTATTAAAATGCATATCTGTCTTCCATTTTTTATACCACAAGCAAATTGAGCTCAAGATAAATTTATTTACAGGGGAGTGCATCTGAGGATGGACTAAAAGTAATAACAAAAACAAACTTTTCGAAGTTGGAGCTGCATCGCTTTGGGTCCATTCTCATTTGTTGGCAGTGTAGTATCCTCATAGTACTACTTGACGAAGATACTGGACTAATTCTTACAATTTGGTGTAAAAGGCACTATTTGCATTGAATGTGATCATAAAAGTGGGAAAAAGGTAAAGGGGGTTGGTAAATTGCTATCTGAACCTCGGGCTCATGATTTGCACAACATGCAAAATAAAAATCTACCCATTCAGAGCAAAACACTCCAATGCTACTTGCTTATGTACATAGTAAAAATTTTTAATACTTGTTTTGTGCAGTGATCTCTCTTCCTTTTTGTAAGTTTTGAGGAAGGGTCACTTGACCCAAAACGTTAACTCTGATTTCTCTCCACAGATGCTGCCAGACCTGCTGAGCTTTTCCAGCAATTTCTGTTTTTGTTTTACATTTTTGTTGTTTAGTTATTTAGAGAGCAGTGTATTTGATTGAAGCTTGAATGCATGGAATCAGTATATCTCGCTGAAGTGACACACTCTCTGTAAGCTGTGTAAATATGTTGCTTCAATTTAAAACTGAGTAACAAGTTTCATTTTGACCTGAGGAAGAGTTTTTGTTGGAACGAGTTCAGGTTTTGTTAGTTTGTCAGTTTGCAAGTTGTACTTTTTCTAAGCAGCTTTAAATATTTTTTCAAAAGAGGAACCTGTAGGACAGCCAGTGAACCGGATATCGGCCTGGAGCAGGATTGTGTGTCAGATTGGTAAGTTTGTGTGTTGCTTTTTTTGGGTGTGGGAATAATTTCCTGTTGTTGACGAGAATTTTTATATTTAGAGCTATCTAGCAATTGGGGTCTGTAAGGTTTTGGTTGTTTTTGGAATCTTCCCATTCCTGTCTTTCCCCTGCCTTGCCTTCCAAAAGGAAAGCTCAAGAGAGTAGCACAAGATTTCCGCCCCCACCTCGTGTGTACCCTGCCCTCCACCACTCCATGCCCCACTCCCACTTCAAATCCTAATGGGTGTAGTTCTTGGTTAAAAACTCAGATTGAAAATTTCCTGGTTTACAACAAACTGCATTTGTTATTGCAGCTTTAACAGAATTAAATGATGAGAGGTGACCCAGGGCAGTGATTATGAAACAGAATTTGTCAAACAAGCCACAGGAGGAGATGTTGAGGCAGGTGACTGAGATCAGAGAGAGATTGGTGAGGTTTTGCAAAGAAACCCTAAAGCTCAGCCATTGAAGGTACAGCTGCCAGTGGCGGTGGTATTTCTCATTTTTAATTCTTTTATGGGACATGGGTGTCACTGACTGGGTCGGCATTTGTTGCCCTTGAGAAGGTGGGGGTGAGCTGCCTTCTTGAACATGTGCTGTAGGTTAGACCCACAATGCCCTTAGAGAGGGAATTCCCAGGATTTTGACCAACACTGAGGGAATGGTGATATGTCCAATGTAGCATGAGTGACTTGGAGGGGATCTTGCAGGGGGTGGTGTTCCCATGTATTTACTATCTTTGTTCTTCTAGATGGAAATGGTGTTGGGTTTGGAACATGCTGTCTGAGGAGGTCGTAGCCAGCAAAGTGCAGAAATCTTGGAAAGTTGAGGGGCTGGAGGAGACAATAAAAAGTGGGGGAGGAGGCGGGGGTGGTGGTTACTATGAGATAAAAGGTGTAGAGCTGGATGCACACAGCAGGCCAAGCAGCATCAGAGGAGCAGGAAAGCTGACGTTTCGGGTCTGGACCCTTCTTCAGAAATCAAGAAATGAAGTTACTGTGGTGGTTTTGAAAACAATGGTTTTAAAGTTGAAGTGTTGCTTAACTGGAAACTAATGTTAGGCAGCGAGCACTGGGGTTTTGGGGGAACAGGACTTGGTGCAAGTTACAATGTGAGCATTAGAATTTAGAATAGGGAGAACAGTGGGTGGAGTTGGAATAGCTGAATCTGAAATTAACAAAGGCGCGAATTAGGAATCTCCTACTGCGACGGTGTAAAAAAACTACAGAATACTTTTAGGAATGTATAGAGTTATAAATTTGCAATAAAGACCGTTACCATAATGGCGTGCGAGCTGACAAAAATAAAACGGGACGATGAGTCATTCCTTGATGAGTTTGGGGGATAAGCCAACAATCATCAGTCAATCGTCGGAGAAAAGGTTAAAACCAGGCTGAGAGGAGGAGAAAATTCAATTCGGACAAGAGAAAACGCTGCTGGAAGTGATCCGGGCAGTAGAAATCCCGGAGAAAACCTTTGCAACAGGGTCGATTAAGAGGCGGAAGGAGTTAGACAAAATCAGACTTTCGCTAAAGAGACTAACGCTCGCCCTATTCAAAAAAAAACAACCACAGCTGTGGGAAATCAGGAGCTGGAGAAACTCAGCAGGTCTGGCAGCATCTATGGAAAAGGGAAACAGAAGTGAACATCTCGGGTCCCTCCTTCAGAACCTGTTTGCCCTGCACTGCCGTCATCTGTCAAGGGTCAGGTTTAAAACCCACTACCCTCCAACTCACTCTCCCAGCTGAGACCTGTTTCTGCTCGGTAGATCATCACAACCTCACTGACACGTTTCTGCGTCGGGAAAAGGAAGGAGATATTTAGATTCTCTCTCTTTCCCCTACCTCCCAGGAACCTGCTACAGGAGTCCAGCTGGAGAGGTTAACAGGGTCCAGTCCAGTCTTCAGGCTTTGCTCCCTGCGAAACGCAGGAGTGAAATTGGATCTCCCAGTTTGTACCATCTGACAATGTTACAATGTCCCCTTTACAAAGGCTTCATTTTCAAAGTCTTATAAGAGAAAATTGTCTCCCAGGGACTTAGCCATAAAGCTGAGCAGATTGCAGAAAGGGATAAATGACGGTTTATTGAAATGAAAATGCCACCTCAACAACAGACGGCTACTTGCATTTGTGTGGCGCCTTTTAACATAGCGAGACAGTTGTTAGTTTTTCACCCGTGAAAGCTGTTGGTTGATTTTTTTTTTTAGCGTTTCACGTGGAGACAGTATTGTTAAACCACGGCCCCCCCCCCCTTTCCCGAATGTCTGTCGAATATGAAGAACGCCAAGGAAAGTTGCGAGAGTAGAGGTTAAAGAGTTTGAACAAAAACAAAGTTGCTGGAAAGGCTCAACAGGTCTGGCAGCATCTGTGAAGGAGAAAACAAGAGTTAACGTTTCGGGTCCGGTGACCCTTCCTCAGAACTGATTTATTAAAGAGTTTGAAATTGTTCTGAAATATCTGCAGATTGCTGCTGCATGGGAATGAGTCGCTTTATTGCTGCTCTGAGTGGCCCAGGTTCCTTTAAGCGGAAGGCAGGGCACTATAGCTGATTGACAGTGAGTGTAGAAATGCTATGTCCCTCCCCTGAGCCAGAGAGGCAGATGGATAGGGAGACGGGAGGTTCCAACCCAGCAGCAGCAGACCCGGGTGTGATTGGAGTAGCCGGCTCTCTTACCGTCTCTGCCGGGGTGGGAAGAGAGCGAGAGTGAAGGGGCTGCGAAATCGATACTGGGGATCTACTGAGATCCTGTGTGAAACGGGGGGTTGGAATCGGTCATGGAATTGAGGCGGCATTGCACGTGACAAGCTTTAACTGGATCTGGTAAGAACGATATAATATGTCCCAATGGTAAAGCTTTGGGCGCACAGCAGAGATTGTTGTGTAAAGGGTTACGCTGAACTGAGAACCGATTGAACATTTGTGGAGTCAATAAATGTGAAGCTGGAAAAGCACAGCAGGTCACACCGCATCCGAGCAGTAGGGAAGTTAACCTTTAGGGCCTAAAACACACACAAGTTGCTGGAAAAGCTCAGCAGCATCTGAAGAAAAATCAGAGTTAACGTCTCGGGTCTGGTGACCCTTCCTCAAAACTGTCAGGACTGGGGAGGGGGAGGGGAACCAGAAATAAATAGAGGGAGGGTAGGTGGGATGGAGATAGTTGGATGCAGGTAGGGGGTTATTGTGGTTGGTCAGTGGGATAGGTGAGTTGGAAGAAATGGACAGGTTGTAGGGTGAAGAGATTTTGAAGCTGCTGAAGTCAATATTCAGGCCATTGGGCTGTAAACTCACAAGGTGAAATTTCAGGTGTTGTTCCTCCAGTTTACGTTTGGCCTCACTCTGACAGTGGAGGAGGCCAGGGATAGACATGTCACGAGGGGAGTGGGGATATGGGGTTGGGAGTTAAACTGAATGGCAACCGGAAGGTTGGATTGGTTGGTGTGCACGGAACGGAGATGCTCCGCAAACCAATCCCTGAGTCTGTGTTTGGTCTCTCCAATGTAGAGACCACACTGGGTGCAATGGATACAATAGATCAGGTTGGATGATGTGCAGGTGAATGTCTGTCGGATTTGGAAGGATTGTTTCGGGCCTTGGGCAGAGGTGAGGGGGAGGTGTGTGGGGGCAGGTGTAGCACCTCCTGCGGTTGCAGGGAAAGGTACCAGGTGTGGTGAAGGGGTTGAAGGGGCGTGTGGAGCTGATGAGGGAGTTGCGGAGTGAACAGTCCCTGCGGAAAGCAGACAGGGGTGGGGAGGGAAATATCTTTCTGGTGATGGCGTCGGATTATAGGTGACAGAAGTGTTGGAGGACGGTGCGTTGTATTCAGAGGTTGGTGGGGTGGTATGTGAGGACTAAGGGGGGGTGGAAGAGGGCTTGAGGGCATCCTTAGTAATTGATGAGGGGAAACTACGGTCCCTGAAGAATGAGGATGTCTGGGAAGTCCTCGAGCAGAACAACTCATCCTGGCAGCAGATGGGGTAGAGGCAGAGGAATTGAGAGAATAGGATAGCATTTTTACAGGAGGGTGGGTGAGAGGAGGTGTAGTCCAGGCAATTGTGAGAGTCAGTGGGTTGGAAATGGATACCAGTGATGAGTCAGTTACCGGAGATGGAGATTGAGAGGTCCAGGAAGGGGAGGGAGGTGTCCAAAATGGTCCAGATGAATTTGAGGGCGGGGTGGAAAGGTGTTAGTGAAGTTGATGAACTGTTCGAGCTCCTCACGGGAGCACGAGGCAACACTGATACAGTCATTGTTATAACAGAAGGAGGTGAGGGATGGTGCTGGTATAGTTGTTCAAGAGAGACTACTCTACGAATCCTACAAAGAGGCAGGTATAGCTTGAGCCCATGCGGATGCCCATGGCCACCCCTCTGGTTTGTAGGCAGTGGGAGGAATGAAAGGAAAAATTGTTGAGGGTGAGGAATGGTTCTGTCAAGCGAATGAGTGTCAATGGGGGGAAACTAGTTGGGCCTACAGGAGAGGAAGAAGCGGATGGCCTTTAGGCCCTATGTGTGGGGAACACAGGTGTACAGGGACTGAATGTCCATGGTGGAGATGAGGTGTTGGGGACCGGGGAATTGAAAGTTTTGGAAAAGGTGGAGGGTGTGGGTTGTGTCCCGAACGTACGTAGGGAGTTCCTGGACCAAAGGGGAAAGAACGAAGTCAAACATTTGTAGAAATATATAGAATAACACAAACCAATAAAATACACACTCTGCTTTATTGCTGTCAATGCATTTAAAGACATTAACTAATTACATTAGTTAATCATCTGCTTGTCAGTGAATATATTTTAACATAAAAGATTGAAAACTTTCAGTTGTTTCAGTGCCAAAGTCCACTGATCAGCCTCTTTTTTTTTTTTAAATACCATTGCAAGTGTTGTAAAAGTTGACCAACTGCTGTGTTGAAAACTTGTACTGGGAACCAGGGGACTCTCCAGTCCCTCCACAGACTGGGTATTCTCCACAATTTATCATTCATTATACTCCCGTTAAAATAAAACTGAGTGATTGATCTGAAGATTGACATTTTACTGTTCACTGGGGAGGAAACATTGGCAGCACACTCTAAAATTACAAAGTGATTAGCCAAGCTAATCTGATTGCGAACACTTTTTAATTTGGTGTTTTAGTTGCTGTGAGTACAGAGTATTAGTTACAGATACCATGCTGATTAACACCAGTCACTGTTCCCAAATGCAGCACAGACAACAAGCAGTGTGTTACTGTCTGTTCAGGAGTGTTCTTTTTAAGACGAATGAACTTTGGCTCCTGTTTGGCTCAGTTCACTTCTGTGCGCTGTGGGAACAGTAATCCCACTTAAAGTGGCAGGCCCTTTTCTACCATTTACCAAATTGCTGACTATGCATAGAATGACAGTATACCAAAAGATGTAGGGGCAGAAGTAGGCCATTCAGCCCATCTGTCTGCCAATAACTGGGATCACTGTTGATGTGATGATCCTCAACTCCACTTCCCTACCTTTTCCCCATAACCCTTGCTTCCCTGATTAAAAACTCAGCTCTGATTATACTTAATGACCCAACCTCAACAGCCATTTTCTGATATCTATCCTCTGAGAGGAGAAATTCCTGATTATCTCTGTCTTAAATGTATGATCCCTTGTTCTGAGATTATGCCCTCTGATCCTCGGGGAAACTGCCTTTTCTCAGTCTACCCTATCAAGCTCCCCCTAAGAATCTTGTATTGATTATTGAAATGCTTCTTTACCTGTCTTGCTGAAAGCCAGCTTTAATTTGCATGCACTTTTGCATGGAGGTGGTGAACTTTTGGAGTTCTTTGGGTGTTTTGTACAATGCTGTAGTTCTACAGGAGCAGGTCTCCACAATGGGTCTTAATGAGTCTGCTATTGGATTGAGAGAGTTTGCCAGGAGAGGCAAGTACAATTGAAAGTTCTGTTCATAGCATAAGCTACAATTTCCACTGAATGTGAGCTGTCACTGAATATCCATTCATTCACATCTACAAGTGAGCATTGTTACTGTCTCTGGAGTCTATTTTATGTCCAGTTCCTACGCACACTTACTGCAAAAATGCCTATAAGGACATGAAAGAATTTGTCCTGTAATTTGTGAACTGGCTCCATCAGTACCAATGTCTGTATATTCTGATTTTTTTAAAACAAATTTGATTTATTATTGTCACATGTACCTAGGTACAGTGAAAAGTTCTGTTTTGCGTGCAGTACAGGCAGGTCATACCATACAAAGTGCATTAGGGTAATAGAACAGAGCGAGGAATACAATGTTACAGCTGCAGAGAAGGCGCACAGACAGTGGGATCAACATTAAATTTAAAATTATAGAGATCCATTCAGCAGTCTAATAATGGCTGGGAAGAAGGTGTTCTTGAATCTGTTGGTCAGTGTGTGTATCTTCTGCCTGACAAGAAGGTGAAAGAGGTTATAACCAGGGTAGGAGGGGTCTTTTATGTTGGCTGCATTTTTAGTATATATCTCAATTTTAAATGAATGACATCAGTTTATTTGGGATGAATTATTTTGGCATTGTAACAAGGCCCTTTCTTTCAAATGATGTCTTCATGAAATTCTGGAAAAGGAGATGGACAAACAGAGACCAGTTTCTGTCTAAAGCAAAGGAAGAATAAATTAGCCTAGGCATACATCGGATGTAACAACTGTGTGATTTGAATGAAAAATATTCATACGTTTGGTGTAAATAAACTGAACATGGTACTCAACTTTGCATGTGGTTCTCATGGTTTTGATGAAATATGACATCTTTTTAAAGGTCTGTATCTCCCTGTCTTCCCAGGCTTCACAAACATTATTTTTCTGCAGAATTCCGGTTTCAGCTGGTAATGTCCAGTATTGGATTGGCTGCACTGTAATGTTCCTGTTGGCAGATGCCGGAAATGTAACTTCTGAGCTGGTCGTTTGACTTTCATAAAAGACTGAAATATTCTAGCTTTGTAAAGTTTTCGATGTAGTGGTTTTGAAGTGAAACATGTTCATGTTTAAGGCTGATGTTTGGCACTATTTCACTGAATATTAGTATGAGAGAGAATAGTCTTCACAAAGTGGCAATTCAAATCCAATTTTCAAAAACAGTGTTTAATTGCTTGTGGTTTTCTTTTTGAGAATATATGTCTGTCTCTCTCTGGCTCTGTCTCCCTTTCTCCTGTCACCCCCATCCCCCATGTGTGTCTGCTTTTTGAGTCTCAGTATAAAGCAATGGGTGAGGGCTATACTTACAACACTAGTTTTTGGAAAGAAGCATGAGCCTGGAAGTGCAACTGTGCTTGAGTCTAAAACAAGTTGTTTAGAGGGTGGGGAAGGGGGCAGTTGACAGACAGGGCCAAGGTCCACTTTAAATGCTGAGTAAGTGCTGTTAGCTCGACATTATGCAGAAAAACTTGCCAACACTGGGAAAGTAGAAAGTGCAGGGTGGGGTTGTTGGGATTGGTGTAAATTCTGTTTTTGGACTATGTACAACATAGGAAACCAGTTGGATCAGTTTTGAATTCTTGATTGCCTGTCCAAGAGAAATTATCATGTTTGCAAATGAGCAGAGAACAAAATGATCCTGCAAACTGTAGTTATGCAGTGTGTCTGTGAGACTGTACCTACACTGTGGATGGTTGGGGTTGTGGACTAGCCAGTATTAAACTTGTAGATAGACATGATTCTTCCTTTTTCAGCAGAAGCTGATTGAACTTTGAGGTAAAGTGCAAGTAGTTTACGGTACAACACCGCTCCCTCCCTTGACAAAGCAAGCCATTGAGTTCTCCAGTCAAAACCTGGCCCCATTCTCCACATTTCCCACTTCATTTTCTACTGGG